TCCTCTTTTCAAATGTCATATTTCTGTGCCGCTTGCTCTTGTGGTCAGTGAGATAATGGTCGAAATTTCGAACCCATGGTTTTTACCATTTCTAACTTTGGCAATTTTTCACAATCTTCTTTTTTGACTTTTCGAAAAGCTTTGATAGCACTAAGATAGAGTAAACAAAGTGCAATATATTAGAATTTTTTGGCATCTATAGCCAGCCTTGAAAATTTTTTAGAATTGTTTTTCTGATGCTATCAAATTCCACTTTTGGTGATGCTAAGAACCATAGAACATAAAACGGCGCACAACTAAGGTGTCATTTGATGCAGCTTTTTTTCCTCTTTCTATTGAGTATTTTTCTTCCCAACTTGTGGGAGTTTTTGGCGATAAAATTTCCATAACTCTTGATTTTGAACCTGTCTAAGAGTGTACACGTGAAATGCGAAATCTTAAATTTCGAAGCGGTAAACACTCAGTTACTTTGTAAAAATAGTGTACAATCATAAACGACTTTTGAAAGTGTCGAAATCCGAAGATTTGTTAATGTTTGGAGCGTTTGTGTGTTTTGTGACTTCGAAGAAGTGAAGACTTCTGGAAAAATTATCTCAAAAAATACTGAGAAGCCAACTGAGAATGCCAAAAAATTACATTAAATTGCACTTTGTTTACTCTATCTGAATTCTATCAAAGCTTTTCGAAAAGTCAAAAAAGAAGATTGTGAAAAATTGCCAAAGTTGGACATAGTAAAAACCATGGGTTCGAAATTTCGGTCATTATCTCATTGACCGCAAGAGCAAGCGGCACAGAAATATGACATTTGAAAAGAGGAAGAAAAGATGCATCGGATAGTTCCTGAAGCGTTTCCCTACCTTTATTCCACCTGTTTTTATGGTAGGTTGAAAAAACGGAAAGAACTTTCGGAACGACCTAATATATTAGGTCATTCCGAAAGTAATTTCGCTTTTTTCAAACGGGCACCACATGTGACGGAACGAAATTTTCTGAGAGCTCTTGGAAGCATTCGATGCAGAATTTCATTCTCTTTCTAATGATTATAAAATTATTGCAAAACAATCAACGAGCTTTTAGAAAATAGCCAAAATGTGCGACCCATGCTTTTTGAGATGGTCAAGTTTCACGGTTTTTTAAAACTTTCAGTCCAATCTTCAGAAGGAGTTCAAGTAACGATTCGATAGAGTAAACCTTATAGAATACAGTACTACTTTTTTCTCTTTCTCGTAGCCCGCTGTAATTTTTTAAAAGTTTTTTAAACAGAACCATCGGATTTTGGCAGACCAACCTCAGCCACAATCGCATCAAACATCATAAATTTTTCGGAATTTGAGACTACCAATATGGTACTATGAGTTAGCATTAATTTACAAGGCAAGTAAGGGTTTACGGGTTCGAAATATCAGATTTCGAGTTTTTCGGGTACAACCTGGGGCTCGCTAGAAAAATGACTTATGATGATTTTATTTCCGAAAACTAAACGAATCGGAAACAAAAAACACCCATCAGAAAGAGGAGCAAAAGCTGCATCGAATAGTGCCCGAGCTGCTCTTCTATTGATGTTCTACGAGGAATTAGCCGCCCAAGTATGGAAATGGGTAGCATCAGTTAAAACTCTGTTAAAAATGTATGAGAAGCTATGGAAAGGAGAAAAAAGCAGTGCTGTATTCTATGAGGTTTACCCTATCGAATCGCTACTTGAACTCCTTCTGAAGATTGGATTGAAAGTTTTAAAAAATCGTGAAACTTGACCATCTCAAAAAGCATGGGTCGCACATTTTGGTTATTTTCTGAAAGATCTCTGAGTGTTTTGCAACATTTTCTTAACCGTTAGAAAGAGAATGAAATTCTGCATCGAATGCCTCCAAGATCTCTTAGAAAACTTTGTTCCTTCACATGTGGTAGCCGTTTGAAAAAGGCGAAATTACTTTCGGAATGACCTAATATATACCCTTTTTTCAGGTGTATAAGCCGCACCCTTTTCGCTCTAAAGGCGAACACGCCAAAAGACTGACTGTCACCAGGGAGCGCGTTAAGTGAGAGCAGCATGCGATAAGGCGACCGCTTCGCGAGACATATGCGCGGCGGCACGCCTGGGTCTGCTCGCGTTTAGAGCAAAAAGGGTGCGGCTTATACACCTGAAAATAGGGTACATATATTAGGTTGTCATAATTAATGCACGTTTTCTATACTTCAACTTTCAACCAAGATAATTCTTTTTTGAAAAGACATATCTGGGCGCAATAAGAACTATTGTAACCATCAAATTAGCGACTATAAAAAAGGAACTTTTGCGTGACTGTATCTAGCATAAGAAAGATTTTCTGGTCTGAAAATGGCCAACAACTTTTTTCAGAAGCCTCCACTTTGAGAGAGCACAACTTATGTTGAAATGAACTAGGGAAAATTCTTGAAAGAAAATTTCGCGAAAAAGTCGAAAGTACTCACTCTTTTCCGGCATCTCGGCGGGTTCAAAAATCGGTCATTTTTGAATTATTATTTTCCTCCGCTGGAAAGTGAGAAAACCCTAGCGCTTTTCTACCATCAAATGAACTAGGTCTACCCTTGCTAAATAGTGCAAAAGACCTGCAATCGCTTTTTGCTTGAAAGTTTTATATGGCACGGAAGGGCCGCGACCATTATTGAAGTTCGCAATTGAATTCCTCTGCTCAGAATTCATGGAGAATTCTGTTCAAATAGCATCTTGTAGCACAAAGTTTAGTAATCCTTATGCATATTTTTTGAAATTAATCCTGCTATTCCTCATGGATTTAGGGCAAAAAAAAGTGGATGCAAAAATTTTGGGATTTGGTCTCTTTTATTTGAAGGCTCAGAACTTTGAAATGAACGGAGATGTACGAAAGCAAAGGAGCATACTTTCAGATAGCGCAAAAAGTTTTTGAGGGAATTGACTACACATCAAATACCAGCTCTTGGAAGAAGAGGTGAGAAAAACGTGCATTAATTATGAATCAACCTAATATATATATTAGGTCGTTCCGAAAGTAATGTCGCTTTTTTCAAACGTACACCACACCTCGTGGAACAAAGATATGTAAGAGATTCTGGTAGCATATGATGCAGCATTTCATTCTCTTTCTAATGGCTACATAACCACTTCACAAAATCCAACAACCTCTAGAAAAATTATCAAAACCTGCGAGCCATGCTTTTTGAGAAGGCCAAGTTTCACAATTTTTCTAAAATTTTACAATAACCCTCGGAAGAATTCCAAGTAATGAATGGATAGAGCAAACCCTACAGGAAACACCACAACTTTTTTCTACTTTCCAGAGCTCGTCATAATTTTTGTATAGATTTTTTGATAGAACCACCGAATTTTAGCAGGCTTGTCTTAGACACAAATGCATCAAACACCAGTAAATCTTTGGATTTTGAAACTTAAAAAGATGGATTATGGTTTGACACTAATTTTACAAAGAGATGAGCGTTTATCGCTTAAGATTAGCAACTTTCGAAAATTCCGGATATAGCCTGGGGCGTCCTGGAAATCTGAATTATGATGATTTTATCCCGGAAAACTTGATGAATCGGAAACAAAGAACAACAGGTAGAAAGAGGAGAAAAAGCTGCGTCGAATGACACCTGAGCTGCTTGCCGGTTGTTGTTCTGTGAGGTTTGAGTTGACTAAATATGGAATTTGATGACATTGAAAAATTGGTTCCAGAAAGTACAAAAAGCAAGCTAAGGAAACGAAAAAAATTACTTTGTGTCCTGTAGGATTTGCTCTGTCTACCCGCCACTTGCACTTCTTCGGAGAATAGGTACACAAATTTAGAAAAATAGCCGAACTTGACCATGGCAAAAAGCATGACTCGCAGGTTTTGGTATTTTCTCGAGAGCTCATTGAAGATTATGCAATAAAATTACAAACGTTCAAAAGAGAATGAAATGCTGTATCGAATGCTCTTGAGATCTCTTGAAAATCTTGATTCCATGAAATGTGGCGTTCATTTGAAAAAAGCGACATTACTTTCGGAACGACCTAATATATATCGGTAGACGGCTCGTAAGGCGGCTTTTCTCTTGAAAAATCGATTTGCAGGGGGATGATAGGGCAAATTTTTTGTAAATCCTTCTAGGCGGATCGTGGAGTTTCTTTCCCATGAAAACTTATCTGTAGGCGGCATAGGCACATAGAGCATAAGAAAACAATGTTTGTTTTCGTTGCCAAATTTTTCCGGGAACTAGGGCATCTCAAGTGTAGAGTTTTTGTAGAATACATCGTAGTGTTGAATTTCGACTGCTTTTGAGGTGACACTCAATGGAGATTGTTGAAAAATCAGAAGCCCTCAATCGGTTTCATATTGCCAGAAATCGCAAAATCATTGTGACAGGACAACGCAAGAGAAATTTTGTTATGGTTTCTGAGAAGGTGTATTTTGTTTCAATGGTGATTTTCATTGTAACTTGACAAACTCCAACTTGGAGGGTTTTTTGAGAAAGTTCTCTTTGTAAGAGGCATGGAAAGGACGAGTCTTTTTTTGAATGTTTCACTATGAAGAGGGGATTTGGATGAGAGGGCGTGTATTCGGGAAAAGGTCGATTTTTCTTCAAATTTTGTAAGACTGTGTTAGGATTCTCAAATGTTGAATGAACGTAAAGTTCTTCGTTTTTGCAAGACTCGCCCATGAAAATGGGTTTTCATGGGTAGTTCTCAAAAAAGTATAAATTGTAGAGATATTTGCAGTCATAATTAGACGGCTAATAATGTATTTGCCCATTACACTTGTCAGCGACCCATAGGGTCGCTAGTCAATGAAAAGTAGCGCATGACTTCTTGCTCGAAGTGTACATATGCAAAGATTGGTCCAAGTTTCGTAAATGACCTGTCTATTCCAAAACATACGTAGGAAAAGATAAAATGTAAAACATGTAAGGAAGGAATTTACCGCATATCATTTACAAAAAGATTATTCGATAGCATGACAGTACCCACGTAATATTGAGTGATTTTTTCAAGGCCATATTCGCAGCACTCATCCCATCAGAAGCGGTTCGCTGTACAGAATGGAGAGCCCTCGTACCATTGCACAGCAGCATGAGATCATCTTCTTGGCAGGAGGTTGTGCAGGACTTGGAAAAAATATCAAGAAGATGCTAGTTTTTCTTTGTCTTACTAGTAGCGCAATGACACTGAGTACGGATCTTCTGGGACAAGCAGCAGCTGCAACAATATCTGGAGCCTCGTGCAAGTATTTAAAAGTAGGCTCAATTAGACGTCGCGCCGAAGCAGCAAGACGGGAAAACACTAGCAAACCATTGAACCTATCGAGTGTGTTAGCTCCAGCTTTCTTGTTGGGTATTAAGAAGCGATGTTCTTGCCTAAAGTTCCCTCTAAGATGCGGAACTGCACAGGCCTCAGCGCCAAGATCTCTTACGAGAGGGAAGATGTTGTCATGAGTACCCAAAAACTTCTGCATGGAGTGCTTTAAACCTTTTTAACTTTTCCAAATAGGGTGATTGTGCTTACCTTGATGGGCGAGATGCGACGAACACCACATCCACGGCGTGGCATGAGACTCCGATATCGTATGCCAGCACCCGATATTCGCAGTCACACATCGCCAGGAGTATGACTGTATAGTAATTCCGGTACTCCAAAATTGATTTTTGAAATTTATCCATTTTGTCCACGTTTTATCCTGTTGTGACAACTTTCAATCTGAACTAATGAAGATGCAAATATGTATGCCATTCATAAATCCAACGGCTCTAGGATAAAAAGAGCGGAGCGATATGTGTTGTCCCTTCAAAAGCAAGCCTTAACGGGCTGCGTCAAAAATTTTTAGAAAAGGATTTGTTCTCCAACCCATGGTTTTCTTCGTTTGCGATATCAGCATCAGTGTGTGCTAAGTTGTCAAGTTTACGGCATCTGATGGTTTGCATCAAGTATATGAAGAAATGGCAAAATGGTTCCAGATCTTCTTGTGCAAAGTTGATTCCATTAATTTTGCCGCACTTCTTAACATCGTTCTAACCGTGCTATGAGTCTATACATGTGCTAGGTCATTTATATTGATAAGCTGAAACTACGCAAGTTTATTGAAAAATGACAGCGGTAAGTGTATAGTGTAACACGCCTACCACCATGTAGCGTGGGCCAGATAGCTAAGGGGAGCAAAGACGCTCGAACCAAACTCTTTATCAGACAAAAAAAAACAGAGAAAAGAATAGAGTGGAGGGCGGCCGCGGTGGCCCCCTTTCATAGCATTCACAGGGATCGATAAAGATTATGAAATAGACCACCAGGTATCTCGCGCAATCGGAAAATCATAGATTAGTGGTCAATTGGATATTGCGGAGAGTATCGATCCGGGCATTGTATGAAAGAAATCAACAACAACAACGAGGAAACCAGGAGAAGTAATCAAAACATAGGTGTCAATATAATTAGATCAACACAATAGTACATGTACGTAAACTGATTTCATAATGTAAGAATATAATAACGGCTAACGCAAAAATTTACAAAAGAGTTTACACTACATCATATCATAGTTTACACTACATCATCATCACTTTCCAGAAAGCTTTTATCGAAGCAGCAAGTTTTTTTTTCACAAAACATTGTTTATTTCTGTATTGCATGGCAGTTGCACTTCATTTATTGTCAGCTTCAGCAAACACAAAACCGAGTGAAAAGTACAGCATCCTTAAGAAAGAAAAGAAATAGTATCACTAGCAAAAAAAGTGTTAATGGCCTCAACTGTTAATGACCTTTTTCCATCGATCTGGTAGACAATTTATCCCTTTGCTGCAGAAAGACTCTGGCAACGAACTGAAATCGTCAAGAAAGCCTCGAATTTCTGCTATTTTCCCGAAATTTCTACCACGTAGATTATGCTCCATGGAGCGAAAAAGATGGAAATCCGATGGAGCTATATCGGGTTATAAGCTGGGGATCCATAACTCCTCAACCCAGTTCCGTTAGTGTGCCGGAGATGAGTGAAGCCACGTTTGGCCTTGCGTTATCGTGAAGCAACATTACTTTGCTGCCACCTTGTGGGGGAAAGCCTCCGCTTTTGCTTCATGGCCTCTGCGAGACGCTTCAGTGTTGTGAATAAAGTTCTGACGATACGGTCTGAGAAAATTCAAGTAGTTCGTAGTACAGAATTCCTCTAGCGTCCCACCATACGCACAACATGGATTTCTTTTGGGAAATCTTACGTTTCGTTACAAATTCCGGAACTTCTCCTGGGTCACACCACGATTTTCTTCTTTCTGCGTTATTATTTTTTTATATTTTATAACTACACTCAAGGTGCATCAAAGGGGAAAAAGATCAAACAGAAAGCTCAAACAGAAACACAACAAATAAACTAGCCTTCCAGTCAAAGAGAAGAGAAAATAAAGGACGGATAACAAAACATGAAGCTCTAGACCCATCTAGCGAAGTAAAAAGCACTTTGCACAAGAAATCAAAGACTTCTTGCATCCTATTAAAGTATATCCATTTTTCATCTCCAGTTACAATTTTGCAGAGGAAGTACTGTTTTTCGAACAGTTCGAGGTGTTCAGAGCATATTTTTAGACGCTGCATCTTGTAATTTTCACTCAAAGTGTGGGCCACCATTTTCCATACTTCCCTAACTCTTTCAACCTTCTGAGAATAGTTGTCTTCCCACATGCAGCTTTTCTGCTAATTCCTTTAAGGACTGCTTCGGATCTTCGTTCAGTAGCTTTTGCATTTCATCTGCACCCACTGTGATCTTTCAGAACTACGATTTCAGTAAACAAACCTACCTTCGGTTTCAGGTATATGGACAACATTTTCAGATGAAAATCTCGTTCTCCACTGTACAAATTTTCCTATTCCTCTTGGCTTCTTGGCTTAGTCTGCACTTTTCATTGACATGCGGCAATCTCGAAACGTCAGTAAACTATGTGACTGAAGGTCAAAGGGCTGTTGAATGAACATTGAAGCGATAAGATTATAAGAGGTCATTCTAAAAAAATATGTGGATATGCTGACGAGTTGATTTAAAATAGATGCCGCTACGTAAACGACAGTTGACGAGATTGTGTTAGTGCCACTAAATGGCCAGACTGAAGCTTGATTGCAAGAAGTGTTTATGCACGTGCTCCTCCACAAATTTTGCATCATTGTATTTCGCAATGCAGGAAGTGCACTGCACGAATACGAAATGGCTTATGTGCTCACTTGCAAAATCCCTAATGCATGCCGAGTAAATATGCCTTGCCGAAAAGAACGAGGGGCTCTCGACAAAAGTGTAGTTGTAAACGAGCATTTACAAAATCAACAACGTTCTCTCTATGGTGATGGCAATATCATGAGGATTCTAGTTCGCCGACTCTGTCTCCAAAGCTCAATCAATTTGTTGTTTGACTTTTTGGATCTACTCATCGACACTATTCATGCAGGAGAATTCTAACGAGTTCTATATGACCTCCTACAAAACTTTACAATCCAATAGACTGGCGAATCTTTTCGGAGTTTTGGCTGTCAGTCCTTTCCTAATGATGGGTTGATTTTCAACCTATCTATTTGGAGACTACAAATGTGTAGGTGGAAGTTTGAATTGGAGCTGGAAGCGTCTTTGATGCACTTTTTAGAGCAATGTTATAGGAAGAGATTTGATGACTTTGTACCTGAAATCGGATTTGACAACGTTAAATCATAAGTGGTGAATATTGAAGCGAAAGGATGTGGAACATTTGAGATGATAATACATTTTGCGCATTCGAGAGCTCTTTTGACTTCAGGTGGGTTTTTGCTAATCGCAAATCGACTATCAAATAGTGATAGTTTCTTGAAAAGAGGATTGCCGAATTTATCACTGTGAATTGCTTCCTTAGAATTAACAGTAGAGATTGTTGAGGTGCCACTACGTGGCAGGCATTGACTTAAATGGGTCGATGAGAGCAAGTAGCTTAGGCTCCCAGAGTGCCGAAGCCATGCCAGCGCTACGCCAGCGCCGAGCTAGCGTTTCGATCGATACACGTGTATTTCGTTGGGGCGGCGTCCTGGCTGAGAACTAGGTCAGCTAGCCCCGCTCCAACGAAATACACGTGTATCGATCGAAAAGCTAGCTCGGCGCTGGCGTAGCGCTGGCATGGCCTTCGGCACTCTGACGGGAGCCTTAGTAGGAAATGCGAGTTAGTGATCATAGTGATCATAGCCCTCTTCTTTTCCTTGCCTCTGAGCACCGCGCAGAGCGTCTGACACCTTATGAAAATGGCTTTTGAAAACTAAAACTTGTAGGTGAGAGTCCTTAAAAACATCATTTGGAAACTAGGGAGAGCGAGAGAGGAAAGATGAAAAATAGAGAGGAGAATACGGAAAAGGAAAGAAAAAGCAAGTCTGGCCAGGTGCACACTATGGTAAACCAAAGACCGCTTACCTTCCCGTGCTTTAGTCAGTTGTACAGCCAGGAGAGCGCCCGGCTAAGCGCCACGTCAGTTCAACAGAATGCCGTTTAGCCGAGGGCGGGTTTTAGGGTGAATCGAGGGGAAATAGGGTGCAAGAGAGAATAATGAAACAAAATTCTCGTAAGTTGCTCGTAACTTACAAAACAATTCAGTTGACGTTTTGTTGCGGTACAAAACTCACAGATCTGCACATTTCGAGGCCCAAAAAGGCGAGAATCGATGAACAACTGATTGCGGCGAGAAAATGGGAAGAAAGGTCTTTTTTTATTTGCAGAGTTTGCTCAGGTCCTTTTGAAAGCTGCATAGAACAAGAATTTATTTGTTTTGTCTATTCCGTTTGTGTTCCAAGTTTCTCACTTTCTCATGATATCTTCGTCAATGCGTAACATTAATGAATTCGTTGTTTACCGCTTGGCCACCCCTGATCCATGGAACACGGCGCAAACGAGGAGACAGCAGACGGAGAAATTATGATGAAATGTACAGATGTTCATTCTTGGATTGCTGCTAAGGGGCGTCCGTTTTGGAACGCTGCCAAATTTCATAACGAGTGACCAAGCATATACAGGGTTTCCCAAAACTCTGTATGCACTGTTTGATCGTTAATATCTCTCTTCCCAAGAAGTCTTTTGTCCTGCTTCAGGTACCGTTTTGTAGAGCTGGCTTCAACTTAGATTCGCAATATAGAACGAATCTCCCATCTTTCTTCATTACTGTAGGACTGCGGTAAAAACTTGAAGCATATGGTAATATGGTGTCAATGTGTAAAAAAGCTGCCGTTTCAAAATTTTTCAAAAAAATGTGAAAACTTGTATAATAGGGTTTTATGGACGCTGAGTTGAATACTTAATATTCACAAGGTTACGGAGCTTCTTAAACGGTGTAACCGCACTTTTTAGGAACATTGAAAAATGGCCGCTACTTCTTACCCGGCATAACTCTTCAATAAAGCACATAATAAGTTGGGAACTTTACAGTTAGAATCAGCAACTCTAGTTAGCCTAGAGTAAAAGCTTTCAGGCTGTTTTGTTTCCTTTCTGAGGCAAAATATGGCCTTTCATGGCTCAAAACTCTCTTTGAAGTTCCTACCATAATCCTACAGTAATCAAGAGAGATGGGATTCGT